AGGCAGGCAGGCAGGCAGGCAGGCAGGCAGGCAGGCAGGCAGGCAGGCAGGCAGGCAGGTAAAGACAGAGAGATGACAGATAGATTCTGCAGCAGTTTCCATTGCTAATTATGATTAATGGGGGGGGGGGTTTGCTGATTTGCTTTAGGCTTCACCTGTTGGATTTCTGCCTGCTAGCCTAGAACAACGATGCCCGCCTCCCTCCACCCGGGCTTACCATCTGCAGCACGCGCGGCTGCTGCTTCTCCTCTTCGTCTCCCATCTTTCCCGCATGCGCTGGAGCGCAGGGGATGCCGGGAGTCGTAGTCTCCGTTTCCCACCACCACCCTCTTGCTTTCAAACAGGAGGCTAAGGGAGTTGGGGGGGAAACTTCAGCAATGAAGGGGTTAAAAAAAACCTCCGGACGCGAGTCTCCTTAAGTTCCTCCCGATCGTCCAATCGGTGGCTACATCCGCCTTCTTCCCTCCCCCCCCCGCGAGAAAGAACTACGCTTCCCAGCAAGCAACGCGGCTCCCGCCTCGGTCCTCCGCTTCTCGCGGCCGGACTCGGTTTCCCAAAAGCCTGTGGCGGCCCTGCGGCGGAAGCTCACGTGGCCTTGGTTTTCTTCGGTGAAAGACGCGACGGGAAGTCAACGGCGGGGGTGGGGTGGGGGGCGAAACGGGGCTCCCGGCGGGCGCCCAGCGAGGTAAGCGGGTGCTGCCTTCCGCGTTTGCGCATGCTCGGAGCCGAGGGGGGGGAGATAGTGGGGTCCGCTCCGCTGGCCGATTTCAAGCCCTCCTCCCGCCCCCCCCGGACGAGGTGGTAACGGTCGGTAGGTCGAGGCTCCGTCGCCATGGCAACGCCGGGGAGGTTCCCCCCCCCAAGAGCACACTTAGACCCCGCTTTGCCCCCCCTACCCTTAACAACCTCCCTGCGAAGTAGGACGTCCCCTTCCCCCCAAAAAAAATGATTTTGGTGGTCGAGGGGGGGCTTGAACCCGGAACCCTCCGGCCTGGGCAAGCCCTTCCCCGCCCTGCCCTGGTTGGGGCCTCGCTGCCTTCGTCCTTTCAGCCCTTGGCCTCCAACGCAGCCAGGCTGGCTTGGCACAAGGGGCTCAGAGCTGACCTTATTGTTGTTGTTGTTATTTTTTATTATTATTATTAATTATTATTATTAACCATCATTATCATCATGATGTATCATCATTGTTACTATTATTACTATTACTATTTATTGATTTGTGTGACTTTTGTAAACAAAAATGTATTGCTTTACTGTGGAATCATGGGCTCCAGGTGGCGAACATCCACAATGTTCAAACTTCGTGTTTTCACTACCACCACAAGCATGGCAAGTGAGATGGGCTGTTGTTGGTATTACATTTTTATCCCACTGTGTCTATATGTAGGGATATATAGGTATCGTGGGATAAAAATGTACATATATCCAAATGTAGACATATCTATATCCATATCTATGTCCAAAAATGTATATCCATATCCACATCGATACGGCAGATATGGATATATATCTATCCTTCTCTAGATATCCATATCATTTATCATCTGTCCATAGCTATCCGTCTATCACTTGTCTGTCTATATCATTTATCTGTCATCTGCCTCTATTTCTCTCTCTCTCTCTCTTTCTCCCTGCCTTATCTATCTCTCCCTCTCTTTCTTCCTGCCTACTCTATATCTATCCATCCACCCACCATCCATCCATCTATATCATCCATCTATATCTATCTAAGCTCTCTATCATCTGTGTGTGTGTGTGTGTGTGTGTGTGTGTGTATTGTTCTCTCTCTATACTTGTGTGTGTGTCTCTAACATCTCTGTCTATCTATCATCTATCTATCTATCTATCTATCTATCTATCTATCTATCTATCTATC